CAATAGCACTGATATAGTCGACGCACACGCTGCAATGAAGGTGATTAATGAACAATAGAACAATAGAAATAGGAACAATGGGACGCTAATGACGGTGGAGGCCCTTACCGGATATGTTTTTTTTTTTTTTTTTTTTTTTTTTAGGATCGGGTGTCGACGAACGTCGTTGAACCACGTCTGACTCAGGTGGTCTAGAAGTGGTACAACTACACTACTCTATATCGATGGTAGCAAAGTAAAAACTGACATCTACAAAATCGCAATTTTACAGGAGAGCCGATTTAGTAAAAAATTGTGGTCATTTTGAGAGTTATGGACCGATTAACATGAAATTTTCTATTAAGCATTAAAATAGCATTATTTATGAATTACGTCATCGTTTTTATCGCTATGTCGTTGTTTTACTAAAATAATTTAGACGTCTTTTTTTACACTAAAAAGTTTGACGTAGAAGAAGACATCTACCTGATATCCGTTTATACGTTGTGATAAAAAAGCGACCATTTCGTTTAAAATATATAATAAACTAAGATAATAATCTCCAATAATACTTTTAAGGATGTTTAAAGAAAATCTAAGCAACATGACGATCAAGACAAACTAGGACCAAAAAGCGATGGCGACCGTGTTTATTTAAACGGATAAGTATGACAGATTAACACCATTTAGTATTATCTAAAACATTTATTAATAACCACTGTTTTTGTAGCTAATGTCGTGAGACTAAATTTAGGAGACAAATACTTGCGTATGCTTTCACAATTGATGCATATTTCAAACTCGGATTTTCTTGGTTAAGAAATCCAAAATTGATTTTTTACTTGATTTATTTTTTTGTTAGATTTATCAGTACAATAAAAGATACTTCGAAAAAAATATCCTTCATTTCATTAGTTATACTTTTGTTCATCGGATAAGCAAAGATACATATTTAAAATGAAAACAAATAACTGCAGGTTAAAAAAAAACTCCTTTTTATTGCTTATTTTTGGGTAAAATTTTATAAAGAAGGCAATAACGAAGAGACGGCCCCCAGTCCCCGGCGGCCCCGCTATTCCTGGCTACGGTGGCGACTATGGTAACGACGGGGCAGGGGGTGCTAAGACTCTCCGGTGGAGGTTCGATTGCCACCTACGACGACTTGACCTGGCAACTTATAACGCACGCACCCTGAGGACTGACGAGAAGATCCTGGAGCTGGAAGAAGAGATATGCAAGTTGCGCTGGAATGTCATAGGATTATCCGAAGTCCGAAGAGAGGGGGAGGACACGGTAATCCTCGAATCAGGCAATTTGTTCTATCACCGGGAGGGCGACCATCTGTCCCAAGGAGGTGTCAGTTTTATCGTCCACAAGTCTCTCGTTCACAACATTGTAAAGATTGGGAGTATGTCAACGAGGGTTGCGTACCTATATTATAATCAGAATCACCAAACGGTATTCGCTGAAGGTTATACAGGTTTACGCACCAACCTCGGCACACCCCAATGAGGAGGTGGAGGAAATGTATGACGATATCTCTAGAGCCATGCATTCCTCCAAAACCCACTATACGGTGTTAATGGAAGACTTCAACGCAAAACTAGGCACAAAAGAGAACGGTGAACTGAAAGTAGGGGATTTCGGAATAGGGTAACGGAACACAAGGGGCCAGCAGCTGGCCGACTTCATGGAGAAAGGGGGACCCTTTATGATGAACTCTTTCTTCCAGAAGCGGCCCCTCAGGAAGTGGACCTGGTCGAGCCCCGACGGTTCGACAAAAAATTAGATTGACTTCATTATGACGATCCGACGACAACTGTTCAGTGATGTCTCAGTGATCTCGCGGGTAAAAACCGGCAGCGATCACCGAATGGTGAGAGGCACACTGAGCCTAAACGTTAAGTTGGAAAGGTCAAGTCTAATGAAGTCAACGCTCCGTCCCCCTCGTGCTCTAATCCAAAGTCCCAAAACCTTTCAGCTCGAGCTACGATACCGTTTTCAGTGCCTAGAAGATTGCAGTGCAGTGGTTGATATTAATGACAAGCTCGTGGAAACTATCCATGCGATCGGAGCTAAGTTTTGCAAGACCCGCCGCAGAAGAACATAAAAACTCTCCGATCACACCTCTAATCTCATGGCTGTTAGACGGGATATGAAGCTGCAGTCTTCAGAAGATTTGGCAGAATACAGGCACCTGAACAGACAGATCTCCAAATGCATGCGGCGGGATTTACGCAACTTTAATACTGCTCGTATTGAAGAAGCGATCGAGCGGAACCGGGGCTCCAAAGCCTTTGCTAGAGATCTGTCTGCCAGAAAGAGCTAACTGTTGAAGCTGAAGACCGAGTGTGGCAGCGTCGTTTCCGGGACTCCTGAGATTTTGAGAGAGATTGAGAGGTTCTATGGGTAGCTGTACACGTCATCGTTGGAGCCACACGTAAGTGTGAGTAACGATCCAAGAGCGAGTCTTATCCGACACTATTCCGATAATATCCCGGACGTCATTCTAAGCGAGATTAGAATGGCTCTCCAGCACCTTAAAAACGGCAAGGCCCCAGGCAAGGATGGAATTACAGCGGAGCTTCTGAAAGCGGGTGAAAAACCGATACTTGAAGTCCTTCAAAAGCTCTTTAATTCCGTCCGGGGGTATTACACCGGAGGCGTGGAGCAGGAGTGCGATGGTCTTGTTCTTCAAGAAAGGTGACTACGCTCTCTTGAAGAACTACAGACCGATTCCCCTTCTGAGCCGCGTCTACGTGCTGTTTTCGAGAGTCAAGTTGACTGTCGGTATATCGAAGTGCTTAAGTGCTTGTACAGTAGAGCTACGATGGCTATTCGAGTACAGAACCAGAGTACGAAACCTATCCAATTGCAGAGAGGTGTAAGACAGGGTGACGTCATATCCCCGAAACTCTTCACCGCTGCATTGGAAGACGTTTTCAAGCTTCTGGACTGGAAAGGATACGGTATTAACATCAATGGCGAGTACATCACTCATCTTCGATTTTCCGACGATATAGTCCTTATGGCAGAATCGCTGGAGGACCTAAGCACTATGCTTAATGACCTCAATAGTGTTTCCCAACGGATAGGTCTTAAGATGAACACGGACAAAACAAAGATCATGTTTAATGTCCATGTCACACCTATGCCGGTAGTTGTTGGGAGCACTAAGCTCGAAGTTGTTGACGAGTATGTTTACCTGGGACATATGGTCCGACTAGGTAAGTCCAACTTCTACCGAGAGGTCAATCGACAGATTAAACTCGGTTGGACAGCGTTCGGGAAATTACGGCACATCTTCTCGTCAGGTATACCTCAAAACTTGAAAACGAGACTGTACAACCAGTGCGTGTTGCCAGTGATGACATACGGAACTGAGACGTTGTCCTTCACTGCTGGCCGGATGAGGAAGCTCAAGGTCGCTCAGCGAGCTGTGGAGAGGGCTATGCCCGGAGTTTCTCTGCGTGATAAACTTAGATATGAGGATATCCCTAGTAGAACCAGAGTGACCGACATAGCTCAACGGATTAGTAAGCTGAAGTGGCAATGGGCCGGCCATATAGCTCGAAGAACCAACAACCGATGAGGAAACAAGGTTTTTGAGTGGCAGCCTCGTACCGGCGAACTAAGTGTAGGTCCCCCCCCACTAGATGGAGTGACGACCTGGTAAGACATGCAGGAAGTCGATGGATGCAGGTGGCTCAGGACCGTGCTTTGTGGCATTCCTTGGGGGAGGCCTATGTTCAGCAGTGGACTTGTGAAGGGCTGTAATGATGATGATGTATATTCCAGTTTACTGTCCCTTGGAACTGTGAAAAAATCTAACTTCTAAGCTAACGCAATCAAAAGATTCAGCCGTTTATGCCACAAATTTTCGACATTCGCAAGGGAATCAAAACCTACAGGGTACTTACCGTGAACTCAGAATCTTAAAATTTTGTGCGAAGTAACGTATTATAGACACAGATAAAGGAAAAATTGCAAAAAGCACAAATTTTTAGTTACATCATATAATAAAAATATTTTTAATAATTCTAAACTTATATACCTACGGATTTGTTCTGAACCTACGGTGCGCTAGTCCCACTCGCACTTGGCCGGTTTTTTTTTATTGAAACAGACTCAAGTACAAACCTTTGTGTGCATAATTTATTATTTGTAATAAAACGAAATATTAAGTTTTTTTTTATAGGAATCGGTGACAAATGAGCACAGTCCACCCGATGATAAGTGATTGCTGCGGCCCATAGACATTCACATCCATCCCTGACCACGAATCAAAATGCAGATGCGTTGTCACCCTTGAGGACCAAGATGGAATGCCTCGGTTTCCAGTAAAAAGGGTCTCCGGTTCTCTACACTCACCATACGAAACACAGCAGCATTAAGCTGCTATTTTACGCTGGTATTCTGTGAGAGTGACAGATCTGATAGACAGACAGACCATTCGTGTTACAACTATACGAGAAATATAGCTGCAGCATGGCTCTACCACGTATATACGTATATACGTAAGTGTTACTTCGTATCTAAATTCAATGTTTTGAAGTCAGTTAAAAGACATCTCCTTGCATCTACAATTTGCCAAAGATCCTTTTCCAAACTAACAGTAAAAGCGCACTTTAAAAATTCTTAGTTTTCGAATTTGATAGAATGAATCTTAGATTTAAATAAAACTAATTTTACGGATTTTTTTCGCGTATATTAACTTATTTTACTTTCCCGACGTTTCAAGCACTTTACAGCACCCATGGTCACGGGAGGGACTGAGGTGTATGACGTCCCAATGTCATAGTTAACGACGGCTACCTCCAGATTAAAAATTATTAATTTTTGTTCCGATCTACGCAGTATGAACTTACAGTATCATGAAGTCTTGCAGTTGTATGCTTGGGTTGGGATTTAATTTTATTAATTATGGGATCCCAAGCAGATGGTAGCACCCAGCCATCTTCTCTATTGAAATTAGGATGTTTTTTGATTTCAATAGCCTCGCGAATCATCCTTGGAAGGAATCAGTGTTCTTTAGCGAGGATTTGTGGTCTATCAAATCTAATGTAGTGACGGGGGCGATCCTGTACGTGTTCACAGACTGCAGACTTCCCGGAGCGTCTATTCTTCACATCAGCTATGTGTTCTTTAACGCGGGTTTTTATGGATCTTTTAGTTTGTCCTATATAAGAGAGACCACATTCACAATCCAGCTTGTACACTCCTGCATCTTGCAGAGGAATATTACACTTGACTGATGGTAAAAACTGACTAATCTTCTTCGGCGGCTTGAAATATGTTTTAATGGAAGCACGCTTCAAGATGTAGCCAATCTTGTCAGTGACACCTCTGACATATGGCAGTACAGCAGGCACTCGCTCGACTGTGGCCGGCTTCACTCGTTCACTGTGACGTAGGCGCGGGACCCGAAGCTTATTGTCGTGCAAAACTTGCTTGACGTGTTGGAGCTCGGCGGCCAGGTGTTTACTGTCACAGATCCCTCGTGCTCTCTGAAACAAAGATTTACCCACGGTAGCTAACTGTGAAGGATGGTGGTGAGAATCACCGTTTAAATATCTATCTGTATGGGTCTTTTTTCTATACACAGTGTGGCTCAAGGTGTTATCAGGATTCCGAATTACTAACACATCTAGAAAAGCTAAAGAATTGTTTGCCTCTAACTCCATTGTGAACTGAATTTTAGAATTTAAGGAGTTAAGATGGTCTAAAAATGCAGTTACTTTATCTAAAGGTAGAATTGTGAAAGTGTCGTCTACGTACCGCTTGTAGAATCTTGGCTTTATGGGAGAAGTAAGCAGGGCTTTCTCCTCAAAGTCCTCCATGAATATATCGGCAACAATGGGAGATACAGGTGAGCCCATCGCCACACCATCTACTTGCTTGTAGAACTCCTCCTTCCACAATAGGTAGCCAGATGTAAGGCAGTGTCTGAGTAATACTGCATATTCTACGGGCATGTTGTTTTCTTCTAGCCTTCTAGTAACAATCGAGATGCAGTCTTCAACAGGTAGGCATGTGAACAGAGACTGCACATCAAAACTCACCATAGTTTCATTGTCTGCCAGATGTAGGTCTTTAATCTCGCTGACAAAATGGTAGGAATCCTTTGTGTGTGCTCTTGTATGTCCCTTGAGCGGTGAGAGTATATTCGCTAAGTGTTGAGCCAATCTGTAAGTTGGTGAATCGATTTGGCTCACTATAGGACGTAGTGGAGCATTGTGCTTGTGTATTTTTGGTAACCCATACAACTTCGGTGGTTTAGCACACGTAGGTATTATCGATTTACACGTAGATATTGTGGAAGGAGGAGTTCTACAAGCAAGTAGATGGTGTGGCGATGGGCTCACCTGTATCTCCCATTGTTGCCGATATATTCATGGAGGACTTTGAGGAGAAAGCCCTGCTTACTTCTCCCATAAAGCCAAGATTCTACAAGCGGTACGTAGACGACACTTTCACAATTCTACCTTTAGATAAAGTAACTGCATTTTTAGACCATCTTAACTCCTTAAATTCTAAAATTCAGTTCACAATGGAGTTAGAGGCAAACAATTCTTTAGCTTTTCTAGATGTGTTAGTAATTCGGAATCCTGATAACACCTTGAGCCACACTGTGTATAGAAAAAAGACCCATACAGATAGATATTTAAACGGTGATTCTCACCACCATCCTTCACAGTTAGCTACCGTGGGTAAATCTTTGTTTCAGAGAGCACGAGGGATCTGTGACAGTAAACACCTGGCCGCCGAGCTCCAACACGTCAAGCAAGTTTTGCACGACAATAAGCTTCGGGTCCCGCGCCTACGTCACAGTGAACGAGTGAAGCCGGCCACAGTCGAGCGAGTGCCTCCTGTACTGCCATATGTCAGAGGTGTCACTGACAAGATTGGCTACATCTTGAAGCGTGCTTCCATTAAAACATATTTCAAGCCGCCGAAGAAGATTAGTCAGTTTTTACCATCAGTCAAGTGTAATATTCCTCTGCAAGATGCAGGAGTGTACAAGCTGGATTGTGAATGTGGTCTCTCTTATATAGGACAAACTAAAAGATCCATAAAAACCCGCGTTAAAGAACACATAGCTGATGTGAAGAATAGACGCTCCGGGAAGTCTGCAGTCTGTGAACACGTACAGGATCGCCCCCGTCACTACATTAGATTTGATAGACCACAAATCCTCGCTAAAGAACACCGATTCCTTCCAAGGATGATTCGCGAGGCTATTGAAATCAAAAAACATCCTAATTTCAATAGAGAAGATGGCTGGGTGCTACCATCTGCTTGGGATCCCATAATTAATAAAATTAAATCCCAACCCAAGCATACAACTGCAAGACTTCATGATACTGTAAGTTCATACTGCGTAGATCGGAACAAAAATTAATAATTTTTAATCTGGAGGTAGCCGTGGTTAACTATGACATTGGGACGTCATACACCTCAGTCCCCCCCGTGACCATGGGTGCTGTAAAGTGCTTGAAACGTCGGGAAAGTAAAATAAGTTAATATACGCGAAAAAATCCGTAAAATTAGTTTTATTCAAATGTGTAGTGTTCGCGTAAATATAAGAAATCATTATGTGAATTTTAGATTTTTGAAACTTTGCAGCATACTCAAGCTTCAAACTTATAAGTGATTTTCAAGTACTGTAACTGATTCTTGCAACGTATAAAATGTTAAATTTTGTTATATGTACGTATACGGACTGTTATGACCATAGATAAATGAAGCATTATAATATATTTGTTTAAATTTTATTGTTATGAAGATGGCATCATCATTGATAAATTGCAATTTAAAGAAAAGTTTTTTTGGTTAATTGTTTTTGTGTAAACACAAAAAATGGCTCAGTGCTGTATTATTAAATTTTTTACACATTTTTTTTACTCCCCTACGTTCGTTAGTTTGGTTTGAACATTTCTAAGCTAAATAATAAAATTTTCTAAAGGGGGTCGGTTCCGATTCGGCAGAAAGGCCATACAGGCCAGCTAGTCCCAGGTGGTGTTTAGTTGGTAGGCACTTACGTTTCACAGTGAGTCCCACATGAATAAGAAGCCGGCTGCGTGGTATGCTTAGAGCATTCACCATGTCCCACCCCCGCTTCCCGAAGAGTAGCCCTTTACTTTGCTTCTAGGCGCAAAAAAAATATTTCACCTCATTCCTTAGTGGTGTAACACTGGTGGCAGAAAAACTCGTGAATGTCCTCATTAAAACCGGTTAATTGATTAATAGATTAAGATATTACCTATATGGAGTAGGCATTTTGTATAGTTAATACATAGTTTTATACAATTTAAAACACTCAAGGATTGGCTCAATATTCATTCCCAGCCTAAGTACTTAGTCAAATATTTCCAAGTGTTTTGTATGCAATTAACCTTAGTATTGAATAGTTATCTACAGCCAACTGGATATCTCGTGGCATAATATATGAGTTTTGAATAGAAAAAAAGATTTAAATTACACTTAATTTATGTATAATCATATCCGTTCACTGTGGTCGTGAAGGCGACTAGTGATTATGTGGTACGGTGTTTGATCCCAGGTCGGGCAAAAATCACCAAGCAACCCGGAGTGAAGAAGTTGTCGGTATGTTGTCGTGTGCTAGAACTCTCTCTGGTCATATCGGATTGCTGACACATCGCACTATGAAAGTGAGGGAATAGAGGACGGACCCGTAATTTAGCGCACGCTCGTACACTATAATACTCTCCTGCGCAAATGGCTAGTTTGCGTTGAGAATTGCCGAGAATATTTGTTAAAATTATAGTGTGCGAGTGTATACGCAAAACATGTATTCGTAATTAATATAAAATACGCTGTATGATATATTTCTTTTGATGAAAATTACAAAAAGACGGCCCACAGTCCTCAGCGGCCCCGCTATTCCTGGCTACGGTGGCGACTATGGTAACAGCGGGACAGGGGGTGATAAGAATCTCTGGTAAAGGTTCGGTTGCCAATTAACACGACTCAACCTGGCAACATAAAACGCACGCACTCTTGGGACTGACGAGAAGATCCTGGAGCTAGAACAAGAGATATAAAAGTTGCAAAGGGATATTATAGGATTATCTGAGGTCCGAAGAGAGGGGGAGGATACGGTAATCCTCGAATCCGGCGACTTGTTCTATCACCGGGAGGGCGATCATCTGTCCCAAGGAGGTGTCGTATTTATCGTCCGCAAGTCTCCCGTTAACAACGTAGTAAAGATTGTATTTCAACGCGGGTTGCGTACCTTATACTCAGTATCACAAAACGGTATTCGTTGAAGGTCATACAGGTTTACGCACCAACCTCGGCACATCCCGTTAAGGAGGTGGAGGAAAAGTATGAGGATATCTCTAAAGCCATGCATTCCTCCAAAACCCATTATACGGTATTTTTACGTGGTAGAGCCATGCTGCAGCCATATTAACAGTATATTTGCAGCACGAATGGGTCGGCTCGACCGGGGAAGGACCACGCTCTCACAGAATACCAGCCAACAATAGCATCTTAATGCTGCTGTGTTTCGTATGGTAAGTGTAGAGAACCGGAGACTATTTTTACTGGAAAAGAGGCATTCTATCTTAGTCCTCACGGCTGACAACGCATCTGCATTTTAATTCGTAAACGAAGATAGATGCAGATGTCTATGGGCCACAGCAACCACTTACCATCAGGTGGACTGTGTGCTCGTTTGTCACCCTGATTCTAAAAAAAATACGGTGTTAATGAGAGACTGCAATGCAAATCAAGGCACAAGAGAGAACGGTTAGAAGCGGTAGAGAAACGGCCCCACAGTAGTAGAGTCTCGACGGTTCAACGAAAAATGAAATTGACTTCAATATGACGATTAGGCACAAACTTTTTAGTGACGTCTCAGTGATCACGAGAGTGAAAACTGGTGGCGATCACCGAATGGTTAGTGGCACACGGAATCTAAACGTTAAGTTGGAGAGGTCTCATCTAATGAAATCAACGCTCCGTCCCCCGCATGCTCTATTCCAAAATCCCGAAAGCATTCGGTTTTCAGTGCCTAAAAGATTGCAATGCTGTGGGCGATATGAATGACAAGCTTGTGGAAACTGTCCATGCGATCGGAGCTAAGTTTTGCAAGACCCGCCGCAGAAGAACACAAAAACTCCCTGATCACACTGACAGTGAATAGACAGATCTCAAAATGCATGCGACGGGACTTACGCAACTTTAATACTGCTTAAAAACGGCAAGTCGCCGAGTGGGGATGCGATCTCAGGGGAGCTTCTGAAAGCGGGTGGACAAGTGGTACGTGAATTCCTTCAGAATCTCTTTAATTCCGTCCACCATGGTGGCACTACTCCGGTGAAGTGGAGCAGAAGTGCAGTGATCTTGTTATTCAAGAAAGGCGATAGTGCTCTCTTGAAGAACTACATACCGTTTTCGAGAGTCATAACGACTCCCGAACAAACCGGTTTGGAAAAGCCTTTAGCACCATAGACCACAAACGTATCCTTCGGCAAATTGTACTGAAGACCGAGATGTACAATTTGCCATTATGTCTTGCGTATGTGCCATTATGACTATAAGAACTGTACTGTACAACCGGTGCGTATTGCCAGTAATGACTTATGGAACTGAGACGTGCTTTGTGGCATTCCTTGGGAGAGACCTATGTTCAGCAGTGGACTTCTGAATGGCTGTAATGGCTCAACAGAAATCTATTTGATTTTCCTTTACGATGGTATTTCTCTTTGTCAATTTTTATGACGATAATATAAAATACAAAATCGCAGAGAATTTCATTTTGCTAGCAAGGTGTAGGATAGTAAAAATTAATTTAATTAAGTCCTTTCGTTGCTCGAAATATATTGCAGTCAGGCTAATTTAAAATGCAAAATGCTCCAAATTCCACGCATTATGAAGTTATTAAGCTTTTTGAGCCCAAAAAAATAATTTATTTCAGCAAACACGATCCGAGAAGAAATTTCAAAGATATTTAAAACAACGACTTTCTTCTAAATATTTTGTAAACGATTTCTCCTCAACGCATCAACCGATTTTGATGCAGTTTGCAGCAATCGACGAAATTTATTAACTTTAAGAGCTGATTAGATGCTAGCTATTGGTATTGACTTTTGTCGCGATGTGCGATGGTTAAATTTTGCGGCTGGAAATAGGCGGAACAATTCCTCAGAGCACTTCCCGTGGTAGATGCAATAAAATACGCAAAGAGATGCAACATTTCTACGCAGTGCCAGTGAGCTTGCTGATCAGAAAGAACTCG